ACACACACAGACATACACACATGTATACACATGTATACTCACAGACACACATATACACATAGACATACTCACACACTTGCACACACACATACTCACATACACACACAGATACTCACAGACACACACATATACACACACACAGACATACACACATGTATACACATGTATACTCACAGACACACACATACACATAGACATACTCACACACTTGCACACGCGCACACACACACATAAACACATATTTGCACACATATACACACACATACACACACACAAACACATACACATACACACAGACATATACACACACATACACACACACTCACCTACACACACAGACATACACACACACTCGTGCGCACACATATACTCACACATAAACATATATTCGCACATACACACACACACATACTCACTGACACATATACTCGCGCACACACATACACACACATATGGACACACATACACACATACTCAGACATGCACACATACACATATACACAGACATACTCACACACACACATACACACACAGACACACACACTCGCAAGCACACATATACTCACACATAAACACATATTCGCACATACACATACACACATACTGACACACACATATACTCACGCACACACATACACACATACTGACACACATACACATATACGCAGACATACACACACACTCACACACATAGACACGCACACACACTCACACATATACACAGACATACACACACACTCACACACACCCATACTCACACATAAACACATATTCGCACATGTACATACACACACATACTCACTGACACACACATATACTCATACACACATACACACACATACACACACACATACTCAGACATGCACACACACACACTGACATGCACGCAAAGCCACACCCGGTTCCACCCGTGCTCTGAGCACCCCCTGAGATCACGCCCCTCCCCTGTCCACTGCTCTCAGAGGCCCATTCCCACCCCAGGCCCTCTCCCCAGCTCTGAACCCAACATCCTCTCCTCTTGGGGTTGCAGGGAGCACAAGCTATGCTGGGACCGATGCCCCAGCACAGGGCCACTACCCACCAGGGCTCCAGGAGGCTGGCCCAGGTGGAGTGGGACGTTGTTCAGGTTTACAACAATTTACTCACTCTAATTTATTTTCTTTTTCACCTGTTGTTTTCCAGTCGCTAAGTCATGACTGACTCTGCAACCCCACAGGCTGCAGCACACCAGCCTTCCCTGTCCTTCACTGTCTTCTGGAGTTTGCTCAAGCTCATGTCCATTGAGTCAGTGCATTTTTTGGATCTGCACAAAGATGCTGTGAGGGTTAGCAGTGGCCCTGCGCTGCCAAGGCCAGGGCCAGAAACACATCAAGATCCTACATGGAGGGTTGAGGGACCCTCAGTCTTCCTGCAGTGACAGCCAAGCCTCCCCAACAAGTGGGGGGTTCCAGGGACCGGCTGAGCAGCCTAACTCTTCAGACCCCCTGGGCAGCTCTCCACCCCTATCCTTTCCTGTTTCCAGCACAAGGTCAGATATTTTTACAAATGCTGACACTGGGTGTAGAGATGATTACATGACTCTCAGAAAGAAAGCAAGTATTCAAAGTACAATAAATTTCCAGGTCCTGGAAAGGGAGTGGGGAGGGGGTGAGAAACTCAAACACAGACAGTATTAAGCCAGACACTCAAAACTCATCTCTAGGACTTCCCTAGTGACTAAGCAGTAAAGAATCCTCCTGCCAATGCAGGAGACACTGGTTCAATCCCTGGTCTGGGAAGATCCCACATGACTTGGAACAACTAAGTTCATGCGTGTGTGCTAAGTTGCTTCAGTTGTGTCTGACTCTGCGATCCCATGGACTGGGGCCCACCAGGCTCCTCTGTCCAGGGATTCTCCAGGCAAGAATACTAGAGTGTGCTGGTATGCCCTCCTCCAGGGTATCTTCCCCACCCAGGGATGGAACCTGAGTCTCTCATGTCTCCTGCATTGGCAGGCAGGTTCTTTACCACTGGGAAGCCTAACTAAGTCCATGCACCACAATGATTGAGCCTGTGCTCTAGAAACCCGGGATCCGCAACTGCTGAAGCCCATGTGCCTAAGAGCCCATGCTCTGAAACAAGAGAAACCACCACAATGAAAAGCCTATGCGTCGCAACTAGAGAGTAGCCCCCACTTTCCACAATTACAGAAAAGCCCTCACACAGCAACGAAGACCCAGCACAGCTAACAAGTAAAAATTATTAAAAAAAAAAAACCCTCATCTACACATGGCTGCTGATTGGGGACCAAAGCACATGTGGTGATAGGTGAGCCCACAGACTCGCAGCTCCTGGCTGCCTCTTCCAGAGCCCCGCCAGAGCCGCTGAGTTTGGGCTGCGGATCTGATTTGAGAGGAGGGCAGGGGGAAGCAGGCCTCCACCAGGCAGAAGTTTTCATTCCACCAAACTGGGGCTCTAAGAAGATGCTAGTCGCTCAGTCGGGTCCAACTCTTTGCGACTCCATAGACTGTAGCCCACCAGGTTCCTCTGTCCATGGGATTTTCCAGGCAAGAATGCTTTAGTGAGTTGCCATTTCTTCCTCCAGGGGATCTTCCTGACCCAGGGATCGAACCCATGTCTCTTGTGTCGCAGGTAGATTCTTTGCCGTCTGAGCCACCTGGGAAGCCAGCGGCTCTAACTGACGCTCAGACTATGAATATGTTGGGCTGGGGCCCAGAGATGGGGCCTCTCACTCCTAAACTCATCAGGCTGGGGCAGGAAGCAGGTGAAATGAGAGTGGCCGCAGAGGCGTCAGCGCAGGACGGAAGTCAGGCCGCTAGTTAACCAGCCAGCCGGGCAGCCGTCTCTGTGGACATCCTCGGCCCCCAGCCCAGCTTCCATCAGGACTCAGAGCTCTGGTTCACTCATTAACCCCATCCTTCTGTCCTCTGTTCACCTCAAGGCCAGAGACAGAAGGCATCTGAGCGATGGAGGGGAGGAGACAGGCCTGCCCCAAGTCACCTAACCAGGCAGAGATAGACGACCATCCATACGGAGCTGGTCACCACTCCAGAGGCTCAACCACAAGACAAGACCTGGCCCAATCAAAGCCTGAGAAAGCTTCAGGAGGGGATAAACTTCCTGTCCAGAATGTCAGACCCCCCACATTCTGCCTTCAGCACAGACCCACAGAAGGACAACCGTCTGCCTAGACGGCAAGTAATGCTCAGCTGTCCGGCTCCTCCCTCGAGGCTCCTCCCAGCATGCTGGGCCTCGCAGGGCCCCTCTGGGCAGGCCCCAGGGGATCTCTGCGACGGGGCAGGACAAGGCAGGACCCACAATGACCCTCACCCACTTGTCCACAAGTCCCTCCATCCCGCCACCGGATTTTCAGCAGACCGGCTTCCCTCAGCCTGGCATTGTGCCGGCTGCCGGCCAGTCATCCTGTAGGCGGTGCCCCAAATCCCAGGGCGGCAGACTGAAAGCCCACACCACCCACCCCTAGGCCCCCAGGGAGGGGGGATGACTTAGAATGAGAGCCTACATCCTGGCTGCAGCAGACTGCAGACTCAAGGAGGGACGGGAGCAGATTCCCTGGCCTGATAGGAGGGGCCGAAGGTCAGCTGGGAAGGCTGGGGTGGCGGGCGTCTTGAGCCGCTGACCCCACCCCCAGCACTAAAGATGTGGTCTTAGGCAAGTCTCTGGCCTGCGCTCCACTTCAATTGCTGCCATTGCGAAACGGGAAATGATAGCTACCCCGCAGGACCCTCGTGAAAATTAAATGAGAGTAAAATTAAGATTCAATACCGAAGTCATATTAAATTAGGTGTGTCTGTGTGTGTGTTAGTCACTCAGTCGTGTCTGACTCTTTGTGACCCCATGGACTGCAGCCCGCCAGGCTCCTCTGTCCATGGGATTTTCCAGGCAAGAATACTGGAGTGGGTTGCCATTTCCTTCTCCAGGGGATCTTTCTGACCCTGGGATTGAACCTAGATCTTCTACATCAGATGCAGATTCTCTACCGCCTAAGCCACCAAGGAAACCTAAATTACTTGTGGACATACTGACACTGTGGCAGATGATGACGATGATAAATATGAACACTGGCACCCGAGTATCATGTGAAAAGCACAAAAGGCCAGTAAGAGGCCCAAGGCTGCTCCTGGAACTCCAAATAGCTGTGCCAGGACTCACAGAGAAGGGACTCTTGACAAGAAAATTTCCCAGCACCATCCTTATCACACACTACCCCCTCTACCACGCAGCCAGGTTCTGAAAGGTAAGAGATTCACAAACCACCCAGCAGGAGGAAGCCACAGGATAAAACAACATCAGTTAAAACGTTGAAAGACCCAGGTCTGTAGGCAGCAGCGCTGGAAACTGAATCAGCACCATCCACACCGGAAGCCTGGGTAGGCTGCTGCCCACCTCCAGCTCCACAGGGGCCTCGAAACACAGGTGCTGCGAAGAAAGATGCTACCAGCAATATCCCCCCGGAGCCTGCAGGCGCAGAGATGAGAACTCCCGGCGAGCATCCTGGCAGAGGGTGTCCACCCAGAGGGCCGGAGGCTTTCCTGCAGGGCCCAGTATAGAAGAACAGACACAGGTGGGACTGGCCAGATTCCCAGGGATTCTTCTGGCCGGCTAGTAGGAGGTCCTCCACCCTGGTTCCCAAGCCCACTGCCGGGAGGAGACGGGAAGCAGGAAGTTACAGACCTCTCCTGCACCCCCCAGGCTTCCTCCCTACCATCAGGTGGTCAAGAAAGAAATTAAGAATACTGCCAGCCACCATTCAGAAACAGTGAGGAGGAAGGAATATCTCCCCTGGCCCCCAAAGCCCAATTTAAGGAGCTTATCAATTCAAAGTCAAGAGCTGGCGAGCAGAGAGACAGCTAGAAAATGTCAACATCCCAGTCCATCCTCCCTCGCCAACCCACAGTGAAAGGGCAAGAGAGACTCTGGCTTTAGACAGTTAGACTTTCAGAGGCCCCACCACATGATGGACCCAGACTGGCACTGACCTGTTTTTTCCTTGAATGTCCTGTGAACACCTTGACGGCTGACAGATCAGAGACGATCCCAGGATATTTCTGCAGGAAAATACACAAAACACCAGGTCATTACCTGCTGTGAAGCCACTCCAGGGAGAAATCTGTCCAGCAACAACCATTCTTTGGTCTGCAGTCTCTCCCATCAAGAACCCATTCATTAGGACTTCCCTGGTAGTCCAGTGGCTATGACTGCACTCCCAATGCAGGGGACACAGGTTCAATCCCTGGTCAGGGAACTAGATTCCACAAGCTGCAACTAAGACCCTCCCAGGCGCAGCCAAATAAAATATTAAAAAAAAAAAAAACCTCATTCATTCAGCAGCTGGAGAAGGCCAGAAGGGCAAATGGGTTTTGGCTGCTGCGTCAGTTCACTCAGCTGGTGCGTGCTAAGTCGCTTCAGTCGTGTTCGACTCTTTGTGACCCCTTGGATCGTAGCCTGCCAGGCTCCTCTGTCCATGGAATTTTCCAGGCAGGAATACTGGAGTGGATTACCATGCCCTCCTCCAGGGGATCTTTCCGCCCCAGGGATCGAACCTGCATCTCTTCCATCTACTTGAACTGGCAGGCAGATTTTTTTTTACCACTAGCGCCACCTGGGAAGCACTCAGCAGATGGTGGGTGCTAAAGACCCAGCAGGAGAGACATCCGAGATGGATTAGTGATGTCTGCTAGGGGCCCTTCTAACAGTAAGAGTATCTGTGCCAGGTATTTGCCAAGGGTAGACCCTTGGCATCCAAGGATTTAATATTTGGAATTCTGACCACTCACAGTGAGACAGTTTCATATATCTGAAAGTGTGTAACTTGACTGAGACAGGAGAGAGACCCTCCGAGGCCACTTTGTTGCATCCATCTCTGACTCATCCAAAGTTACTTTTTTAATGTAATTTATTTATTTTTGGCTGTGCTGGGTCTTTGTTGCTGTGTGGGCTTTTCTCTAGTTGCAGGGAGCAGGGGCTACTCTCACTGCGGGGAATGGGCTTCTCATTGCTGTAGCTTCTCTTGCTGTGGAGCGCGGGCTCTAGGGCACACAGGTTTCAGTAGTTGCGGTTCTCGGGCACTAAAGTACTGGAATACAAAAGTTGTGGTGCACAGGCTTCCTTGCTTCGAGGCACGTGGGATCTTCCCAGACCAGATGACCCACATCTCTGGCACTGGCAGGTGACTTCTACACCACTGAGCCACCAGTGAAAGCCCCAAAGTTACTTTCAAGGAGCAATAAAAACTTGGTGGAAAATGGCCATCAAGTGAGAGATTAAACTGTTGCAGAAGTTGAAAGCGTGGTTAATTTGGGATGTGAAGATATATACAGGAAACATTTGGCCCTTCGTGGAAACATGACTCTGGAGAAAGTCAGGCTCATGCACAAATAGTGCTGCAGAAGCAAACTTGGGATTCTAGAAGGTACAAGGTTCCCCCAACACAATCTACTCATTGGTCCAACTGAGCTGTTCAAAGCCCCAGCACTTTCTCAGTGCTGTTCCTCAGCCTCACCCTTCCTTCTTTCTGTCGAAACGAAAGCGGCCCTTCAGCGTTCACGTCAAACACCACCTGGTACATGACGTGTTCCTCTAGAATCAGGGTGATCAACTCCACCCATGTTTGAATCCATATTCTACTCTCATAGGCTGCTCACCCTATATTTTGAATTGTCATTTTTCGGAAGATCTTTCTTAACCCTTTACTGCATTATGTGCCCCATGAAGACAAGGATCTTTACCGTTTTCATTTTTGTATCAGATCAGTCCAGTCGCTCAGTCGTGTCAGACTCTTTGCAACCCCATGGACTGCAGGACGCCAGGTTTCCCTGTCCATCACCAATTCACAGAGCTTGCTCAAATTCATGTCCATCAAGTCAGTGATGCCATGCAACCATTTCATCCTCTGTCAGCCCCCTCTCCTGCCTTCAGTCTTTCCCAGCATCAGGATCTTTTCTAAAGAGCCAATTCTTCATATCAGGTGGCCAAAGTATTGGAGCTTCAGCTTCAGCATCAGTCCTTCCAATGAATGTTCAGGACTGATTTCCTTTAGGATTGACTAGTTGGATCTCTTTGCAGTCCAGGGGACTCTCAAGAGTCTTCTCCAACACTACAGTTCAAAAGCATCAATTCTTCAGCGCTCAGCCTTCTTTATGGTTCAACTCTCACATCCATGCATGACTACTGGAAAAATCATAGCTTTGACTATAGGGACCTTTGTTGGCAAAGTAATGTCTCTGCTTTTTAATATGCTGTCTGAGTCTGTCCTAGCTGTTCTTCCAAGGAGCAAGCATCTTTTAATTTCATGGCTGCAATCACTGTTACAAGTGATTTTGGAGCCCAAGAAAATAAAGTCTGTCACTGTTTCTGTTGTTTCCCCATCTATTTGCCATGAAGTGATGGGACCAGATGCCATGATCTTCGTTTTTTGAATGTTGAGTTTTAAGCCAGGTTTTTCACTCTCTTCTTTCACTTTCATCAAAAGGCTCTTTAGTTCCTCTTCACTTTCTGCCATAAGGGTGGTGTCACCTGCATATCTAAGGTTATTGATATTTCTCCCAGCAATCTTGATTATAGCTTGTGCTTCATCCAGCCCGGCATTTCACGTGATGTACTCTGCATATAAGTTATATATAAGCAGGGTGACAATATACAGCCTTGACATACTCCTTTCTCAATTTGCCAACAGTCTGTTGTTCCATGCCCGGTTCTAACTGTTGCTTCTTGACATGCATACAGATTTTTCAGAAGGCAAGTAAAGGTGGTCTGGTATTCCCATCTAAGAATTTTCCAGTTTGTTGTGATCCACACAGTCAAAGGCTTTGACACAATGAAGAAGAAATAGACATTTTTCTGGAATTCCCTTGTTTTTTCTATGTATGACCCAAGTGATGTTGGCAATTTGATCTCTGGTTCCTTGCCTTTTCTACATCCAGCTTGAACATCTGGAAGTTCTCGGTTCACATACTATTGAAGCCTACCTTGGAGAATTTTGAGCATTACTTTGCTAGCATGTGACATGAGTTCAATTGTGCAGTAGATTGAGCATTCTTTGGCATTGCCTGTCTAAGGGACTGGAATGAAAACTGACTTTTCCCAGTCCTGTGGCCACTGCTGAGTTTTCCAAATTTGCTGGCATATTGGGTGCAGCACTTTAACACCATCATCTTTTAGGATTTGAAATAGCTCAGCTGGAATTTCATCACCTCCACTAGCTTTATTCATAGTGATGCTTCCTAAGGCCCACTTGACTTCACACTCTGGGATGTCTGGCTCTAGGTGAGTGACCACACCATCATGGTGATCTGGGTCATTAAGATCTTTTTGTATAGTTCTTCTGTGTATTCTCACCATCTCTTCTTAATCTCTTCTGCTTCTGTTAGGTCCATACCATTTCTGTCCTTTATTTTTTCTGTCCTTATATGCAGTGTCCATCTTTGCATGAAATGTTCCCTTGGTATCTCTAATTTTTTTAAGAGATCTCTAGTCTTTCCCATTCTATTGTTTTGTATCATCAGATGGAGATCAGCACAAACTCTTTTTTTAACATTAAGAAAGCTTTATTTATTATTTATTTCGGTTGCACTGGGTCTTTGTTGCAATGCAGGTTCTCCAGTTGTGGTGTGTGGACTTAGTCACTGTATACAAACTCTTACTTGCAGTATGTGGGATCTTAGTTCCCCGACCAGGGATCAAACCCAGGCCCGTGCATTGGGAGTGCAGAGTCTTATCCACTGGACCATGAAGAAAGTCCAGGCACAGACTCTTGTACTAAGACACACATTAAAGAATCACCCCCAAGCAGTGTGGCAAAGCCAGGAGAGATGAAAACATAAAATGCCAAAAGGTTCTTTGGGGATGGCTCTGCAAAGGAGCTCATCCTAGACATGAGTAGGATCCTAAAGAGTGGAAGGAAGGAATAGGGAGGCGCAATTCAGGAAGGTAGAACAGTTTGACTAAGAGACAAAGAAGAAATGAGCCAGGCATGCTGGGAGGTGAGTCTGGCTGGCACTGGGGATCCCTGGGGAAGAGAGTGGAAGATGAAGCTGGACAGGCAGGGCAGGTTGGATGGGAAAGATGTGTGTGTGTGCGTGCTCCATAGCTTCGGTCATGTCCAAGTCTTTGCACCCATATGGACTGTAACCCACCAATCTCCTCTGTCCATGGGATTTTCCAGGCAAGGATACTGAAGCCATGCCCTCCTCCAGGATCTTCCCGACCCAGGGATCGAACTCGTGTCTCCTGTGTCTCCTGCATTAGCAAGCAGGTTCTTTACCCACTTAGCCATCTGGGAAGCCCAAGGATGTGCAGTGCCAGCTAAAGCACCTGGATTAGATCCACACACTCTGAGTCCGTGGGGTGCCCACCACAGCAGGCCTGAGTCTTGACAGTAGAAGAAGTCCTGTCCTCCTCTGTGAGCCTAGCTCCTCAGCTAGGTTATAAATAACAGGCACCACTTAACTGCACACCTGCTGTGTCTGAGGCCCTAAGCTACATGCTTCACATATATGCTCTCACTGCTCCTTCCAACAGCCCTGAGAGCTGGTATTGTTATCCTCCTTTTGTAAGCAGCAAGGGAAAGCTCAAAGAGGTGAAGGCACTTGCCCCAGGCCTCACCTGCTCACTCATTTACTGAACAGATCGGCTGGTGCTGGGGCTTCCCAGGAGGCTCAATGGTAAAGAATCTGCCGGCCAATGCAGGAGACTCAGGAGATACAGGTTCAATATCTCGGTGGGGAAGATGCCCTGGAGGGGGACATTGCAACCCACTCCGGCGTTCTTGCCTGGAAAATCCCATGGACAGAAGAGCCTGGCAGGCTACGCTCCATGGGGTCACAAAGAGTCGAACACAACTGAACGACTGAGCAGGCACATGGCCGGTGCTGAAGTTACATTCACAGGAATGAGGTCTGGCACTCTGGCCAGCTACCTACTTGCCTTATTCATTCCTCAGGGGCAACATTTATTAAGGACATCAGTCAGTCAGTTCAGTCGCTCAGTCGTGTCCGACTCTTTGTGATATAGTAGGAGCCTGATAAACCACCCTGAGTAGAGTGGAGATAGCCGGGGGCTGAGGACTACAGTTTAATGGATGTACAGTTTCAGTTTTGCAGATAAAAAAATTCTGGAGACCTGTTGTAGGACCATGTGAATATACTTCCTGAAACTGAACTGTACATTTTTAAATGGTTATGATGGTCATTTTTATGCATTTCTTTTACCACAATTAAAAACAGAAAATAAACAAAGAGCACATTAACTCATTGATTGGCTGCTGACAGCATCTTACACTGTTAGATATCCAAGGATGGAAGAAACCCTAAAAACATTTTAACCCATAATCATCCAAAACAGAGGACTGGAGACTTCCCTGGAGATCCAGTGGTTAGGACTCTGAGCATTCAATGCAAGAGGCACAGGTTCGATTCCTGGTCAGGGAACTGCCAGAAGCCCTAGGGCATGACCAAATTCAAAAAACAAATAGAGGCCTGGAGAGGGGCGGTAATTTGCCCAGGATTGCACAATTAGGTGATGTTAGGACGAAGGTCGGAGCCCAGGTCTTCCAGGTTCAACAGTGAAGAATGACAGAGGCAGCTGGCATAGCAGAAAACACAGCCTAAGGGGTCAGAAGCCACGGGTTCAAGTTCTGCTTCTCCCACTTATGAGTTCTGTGACCTCAGAAAAGTCATTTATTCTCTCTGAGCCTCATTTTCCTAAACTATAAGGGGCAATTTAAAATGACAAGTGCTTGGGGACTTCCCTGGTGCTCCAATGGCTAGGGCTCCATACTCCAGGAGGCCTAGGCTCGACCCCTAGTCAGGGAACTAGATCCACATGACGCAACTAAAGATCCTGCACGGCCCATCGAAGATAGAAGATTCTGAGTGCTGCAACGAAGATCCAAAAGCAGCCAAAGAAATGCACATTTTATTTCAAAAAAATTTTTAACTATGTAAAAAAATAAAAATGTGTTCATCAATTTAAAGATTAAAATATGATTTGCTGCTGTTGTTTAGTCACTAAATCATGTCCTATGCTTTGCAACCCCATGGGCCCCTCTGTCCATGGGATTTCCCAGGCAGGAATACTGGAGTGGGTTGCCATTTCCTTATCCAAGAGATGTTCCCAACCCAGGGATTGAACCCATATCTCCTGCATTGCAGGCAGATTCTTTACCACTGAGCCACCAGGGAAGCCCATAAAATATGATTTAATCAGATTAAAAAAAAATCCCCTCTCCATTCTGATTCACTCTCAGCTGTTCCTGGCCTTGCACACAGCAGGTCTTCAACGAGCGAATATAGAACTGAATCACCGTTCAAGTTTTATCCACCCCAACCCTCCTCCCTCACTCACCCCCTCAACCCACAGCTCAGTTGCATGGCCCTGCCAGGACCCGGCAGAGGGTAGGAAGCCAGTGTGAACGGTCTGCCTCCGTGGCTGCATTCCTTAGCTAAATATAAATGATTTGTCCAGGCCATTGTTTGAAATTGTCCATAATATGTCTCCTCCCCTTCCCATTACTTACAATGACAAGTTGACTGCACATCTTTATAGCAGAACATACATACAGAACATTCTCTGTGGTTATTTTTAGTAAAGAGAGGGAAGCTGGCTGATACGCAGGGATCAGAGCGTGAGTCCTCAGTTTTCTCCACTAGTCCAGGAAAGCTTCCTGGAGGAGGAAATACCTGAGTCATCCCAGGGGACAGCTGCCTGTCAGAAGGGCATCCTCACATAACGAGTTTGGTTCTCTGCAGTCTTATCCATGTTTGGGGTATGGGGAAGAAAGGTCTAACCAGCCCAGGGGACCCCTGCTGCTGCTGCTGCTGCTGCTAAGTCACTTCAGTTGTGTCCAACCCTGCGACCCCATAGACGGCAGCCCACCAAGCTCCTCCATCCCTGGGATTCTCCAGGCACGGATACTAGAGTGGGTTGCCATTTCCTTCTCCAGGGGACCCCATACTACCCTAATGCTTCAAACCTCCCCAGACACTAGCAGCATTGGGGAAAGAAGCAGAGAAGGGACAGTATCTTTTCCAAAGACAGGAGATCCAAGACTCCAGCTCTGAAATACACGACTACAAACACTGCTCTTGGTAAGGAGCCAGATTCTTGTTTGGACTTTTTAATTTTTTTATAACCACAGAAAGTTTTTTAAAGTCCCAAACTTGGATGCACAGATGGGCTACATCCCAGACCTCGGGGCCTGCCAAAGCCCTGTCACTGAGTGCCGACCTGCCAGGGGTGGCCCAAGGGGTGGTCGGGGAGCTCCGGGGCTGCACGCGGTACTCCAGCCCTGCGCGAGCCCCCGGCCCTCCCTGGGGGCGCTGAAGGGACCTCCCCCGGCCGGCCCGCTGGGTCCTACAGTCAGAACCCCTTGACAGCTCCGGGGCTCCGCCTTCCTGCTGCATCCTACAGACCCCCATCCCTCCGCCTAGGGTTCCGCCGGCCACTCCCGCACCCCGTTCCCGGAAGGTCCTCCTCCGAGCCTTTCTCCGTGCAGACCCCTCCTCGCCCCGTTCCCGGGCCCAGCACACGTCGTCCCCTTCGGGCGGCTTGCCGCCCCCTCACAGGGCGCCGATCCCACCCCTCCCTCAGCTGGCCCACTGCCGCCCCCCACACCCTTTCCAGGGGCGCCCTGGGCCGCTCGCCCCTCCGCGGACCGGGTCGGGGGCTTGCCGGCCCGCCCCCAGCCGGTCCGGGACTGTAACTCTGCTTGTTCCCGAGCCCCCGGCCCGCGGCCCGCCGCCCCGCCTGCCCCGGGCCGCACTCACCGAGCTCCCAGGAATGTGGGGTCCGGCTCGATCGCGCTCGCGCGCCGCCGCCACTGCCTCAGCCAGCGGAAACAGGGGGCGGGGCCTGCCCTGGACTGCGAGGCCGCGGGGCGGGGCCTGCCGAGGGGGTGTCGAGGCGGGGTCGGCCGGGGAACTGCAAAGCCGAGGGGGCCCGAGCCCGGCGCGAGGGGTGGGGGAAGGGACGGAAGCGGGGACCTCGAGCGGACACTGCGGGTGGGGCGGCGGCTGGGGAAGGGGTGCGCGAGGCTGAGAGCGGGGTCTGGGGCCGGGGACCTCCAGCACCCCCGGTCAGATCCCCAGCGTTGGAGTTGGAGGGACTCAGCCGGACAGTGCCGGACTCGGACTCCCCGGGCCAGGCATCCCGGGCCTGGCCCAGGCGTGGCTGCCCTACGGGAGACTTCCTCCCTCCCCCGCGCCTGGATTCTTGGATCGGCCTCTCCTCCGGGGCACTGGTACGACCCTTGCCCCTGCCCCATGCATGGGACAGAGTGTAGGGGGAGATGTGGGCCTGGAGGTTCGCGCCCCCGTGCCCAGTCTGGTCCCAACTGGGGTCGCAGCCTTGCCACTGGAGCCGGGTCCTGCACCCTTGCCGCCACACCTAGTCAGGAGACCACGCGCTGGAGGAGCTGCTGTCTGCCTCCCCAAGAGTCATGGCCTCTTAAGTGTTGGTAAAGGGCACCACGCGCCCTGAGAACCTGACCAGCAGCTGGACAAACTCAGGTTACACATCTCCGCCCCAGGGTTTCCTATAGGCCTTCCTTCCTGGGCCAGGACTCTCTTTCAAAGTGACCCCTAAACAGCTCCATTACTGTCATAGAAATGCATTCTGTGCTTCTCACGTGCACCATCCCCTGCTAAGTATGATTTGAGACAAAGTTTTTTCAACTGACTCATCACCAGAGTCTCCTTGGCCTTTCCTAGTTGGACTGGCAGCTAGGAAATCATACACACAATCTTATTTTTGTCTGTTAGCTTGAACCCAATAATCCATTGCCTCTGACTCCCCTCTCCCTTCAAACCTTTGTTCAATGCCCCCATAAAGTCTTCGCAGGCTGACCCCCCTGCCCCACCCCACAATCTCTCCAGTCACTAGGACAGCCTTTAGCACATGTAACCACTCCTCCCAGCTTCCAGAAGAGGAAGGTGAGACCAGAGAGGGAAAGGGACTTGCTGTCGTGTCCGCTAGGTAAGTGATCTTACCGTAAAAACACTGGGAGCAGCCTCGGGTGGTAAAACGGGGCTTTGGAGCCAGACAGCCCTGGGATTGAACCCCAGCCCTGCCTTTCATGGGCTGTGACCACTCTAGGCCTCAGTTTCCTCACCTGAGAGATGGGGTTTAATAATACCAATCCAGTAATACCAATCCCCAAACAGTAATGCTGAAAAAGCTAAAGTTGAACGGTTCTATGAAGACCTACAAGACCTTCTAGAACTAACACCCAAAAAAGATATCCTTTTCATTATAGGGGACTGGAATGCAAAAGTAGGAAGTCAAGAAACACCTGGAGTAACAGGCAAATTTGGCCTTGGGGTACAGAATAAAGCAGGGCAAAGGCTAATAGAGTTTTGCCAAGAGAATGCATTGATCATAGCAAACACCTTCTTCCAACAACACAAGAGAAGACTCTACACATGGGCATCACCAGATGGTCAACACCAAAATCAGATTGATTATATACTTGCAGCCAAAGATGGAGATGCTCTATACAGTCAGCAAAAACAAGACCGGAAGTTGACTGTGGCTCGGATCATGAACTCCTTATTGCCAAATTCAGACTTAAATTGAAGAAAATAGGGAAAACCACTAGACCATTCAGGTATGATCTAAATCAAATCGCTTATACAGTGGAAGTGAGAAATAGATCTAAGGGACTAGATCTGATAGAGTGCTTGATGAACTATGGATGGGAGTTCGCGACATTGTACAGGGGACAGGGGGCAAGACCATCCCCAAGAAAAAGAAATGAAAAAAGCAAAATTGCTGTCTGAGGAGGCCTTACAAATAGCTGTGAAAAGAAGAGAAGCAAAAAGCAAAGGAGAAAAGGAAAGATATACTCATTTGAATG